GCGGGGGGGGCGGTTAGCGGGGGGCGGAGCGTCCGCAGGGAGCCCGGCCCCTTGGGGGGGAGCGGCCGGTGGGGGCCGGCGGTCAGGCGGTGTGTGTGGGAAAGAGGCCTTTGAACGGGCAGGGTCGCTCGGTCGTTAATCCCACCCACTCATGTGACAGGCACCCCCCTCCCGGCAGGTTCGCAGAACCGTGAGAATAAATAATTAAACCCGGTGATTTAACATTAAATGGATGGAATTAATAGTTAAGCGGACCGGATTAATAATCAAAATAGTTCCCGGTAAAAATGCAGACTTGAGGTTAATCAAAACTCGTCTTAATGCAGAAGCTGCTGCGTGGGCCGCCGGGGCCTGCACAGCCACCGCAGCGCAGCCCCGCACACCCAGGCCTTTCCTGAGCCTGAGCCCTTCCCAGGGCTTCCTAAGCACGGGGGGTGAACTCCCCTGAGCCACGCAGAGGTTTCCTGTGGGGCCTGTGGAAGAAAACCAGAAATATTGTTAAGGCAGTTTTGATGGGTGCTGGAAGCGTTCGGCCTACGTGGCCTGTCAGGGCCCAGGCCCTGAGGCTGCACAATGTTCATATCTTACCGGCTTCGGGCTCCCGAATGGAGGACAGTTGACAGCTTCCTTGAGAGGAGCTTGAGAAGAGAGCTCCTGCCAGAGCTCCTTACACGCCGCAGGCACAGATTGCACCGAGTTTGGCTCCCACATTGCCCCATCCGGGCTTGTACCCCCAAACCCCATCTGCTACCTCCGAGCAACTGTCAGGCATGGCACAACCTCCTCTTCTTTCAGGGAAGGTGCTGCCCCCAGAACAATCATGGCTGTGGCTGCGGAGGCGTGCCAGGGAGACCCAGGCCAGGCGGGTTTGGTGTTCCTGCAGCCCATCTGCTCCGGAGGGCACTAACCCCCAGAGAACAGGGACAACTGGCCCCGAGGCCAGGATTTCGTCAGTATTTGGTACAGAGAAGACAGACAGCCTCCCCCAACACTCGCTCAGCAGGCGTGAGGATGGCACAGGGTTAATCTCCCCCACTCCGTCCCGCTCTTTGCAGCAGGGAGCCCCAGATGCAGCCCTGGGTGCCGGGCTTTGGCAACCCACCGTGGCGGTGCTGAGCAGCAATGCAATGGGCTGTTCACGCTGTCACACCGCTTCCAGTCGTGGAGTCTAAGCCTGCTGTTGGGTACAATGTTGTTGCACAAATGTTTTGGGGGAGCTTGACTGAAAGGGTCGGCGAGTGTCAAGTGTCAGGGCAGCCTCGCCGGTTTTGGCAGGAGGCTGTGGCACCTGCTGGGAATCTGCTCTGCTGCTCTGGGCGAGGATCTCGGGTTTCCAGGCGGAACGCCACGCCGTGCAGGAGGACGCCATGCATGGCCCGTCAGTCTGTCCTGGCAGCTCTGGAGGGGACAGCTGCTCATATGCTTGGGTTTCTGGTTTTTAAAGGTTTTAGATGGAGCTGGTGTTTGAGCATAGTACAACACAAGTTTGGAACCCTCTTGTTTAGCTGAGTGGTGAAATATTTTAATGGTGACTCTTTAGTGTAGTGGCTGGGCTTTCTGTTCTGTTACTGTAATCATTAGAAATAAACATTAAACATTGCAAAATGCAGGAAATTACACTTGGCATTTCAGAACTGGCTCTGGAACTCTGTTAACGTTTAGTCTTCGCTTTTGTTGGGATGCTACCGGCCTGCTGAAACCGTAACAAACCAAACCAAAGCAAACGACGCCAACCCAGCCCCGAGAGGCCGCAGCGCTATACCTGAGGTGCCTAGATGCGATGCCCAGTTAAAACACCTGAATCCCCAGCTCTGCCCCGGATTCTGTAGCCAACAGGTCACACACAAAGATTTTGCTATTCTTTGCTTCTCTGGTTTGTAATATTTTAGCCTTGATCCTCTCTCGGGGCTGCTCTCAGCAGAGGGCAGCCTTGTCCGTCCCGTACGCAGGCAGGTTGTATTCGGTGTTTTCCTTGTTCTGTGACCCTCGTGGGTGATGTCCCGTGGAAAGGCAGGAATTATCCGTCCCAGACACCTGCGACGTGCGGGGCTGGCTGCTGACAGCGGCACGGCTGTTCCCCAAGCAGGTTCAGCTTTGTGAGGGGAATTATCGCCGGGAGAAAATAAAGCAGTTGTTCTGGGAAAAAACAGTTTGAATTTTAGATGGATTTTTTTTTTGGAAAACAAAAGGAAAGCCATTTTCAAAGATACTCTAGTCCTTCATGTAGGTGGTTTCCGCTTTTCGTACAAACGGAGAGGTTTTGTAGTCATGTACAGGAGCTACCTGCTGTGCTTGTGTCGACAGTCACACATCCACGTGAGCTGCGCTTTTCACTCCTCAACGTCCTCTTCAAGCTCCCAGCAGAACTCTACGTGTTTCTTTCCTGGATCATGTGTCTGCGGATAGTTATTTTATGGTGTAGTAGCATTTCTCATTAGCATTTTCACATTAAATCACATTAAATTCCCACATGAAATCCCCATTTTGCAGCATTTCTCAGACATCAGGACAAGCTTTTCTACATTTTTCAGTCTTACCTGTAGTTGTTGAACTGTTCTGCATGTTTGTTTTTAATGCATGGTAAAAATACAGGGCAGATGCTTACTGGGCCTAAATTGTCCTTTGAAATCAATGGATTTACAACAAATTACACCAGATTAGAATCAAAAATATGTTTAACTGAATTACAACCAACATGTCTGTTAAACTAAGCCAAATAAAGGGACTCTCCTTCATGAAATATTCAGCAGCAATTCTCTTAGTCAAATCATGCACGGCTAGTTCTGGCAAAAAAACCTCCGAGATTCTCAGTAAAAGCACTTTTCTTTCATCTTTATCAAGCTCTGTTTTCATTTAACCTTATTCAAAGAAATCCTTTCTAAATCTGTTTTAAAAACATGCTGTCCTGTCATGATAAAGCTAGCAAACAGGACCAGGCTGAACAGTGAACCATGTCACCGGTTTTGCAGCAAAGGGGCTTGGTACCAGCTTCTCCCGACACAAGAAGTTACTGATAGATGCTCCCATTGACAAATGGTCATGTACTGAGGAAGAGACGGGAGGAGAGGCAGGCGAGGCTGTTGATTTTAATTAAGGTATGTCATTTTGAGGGGTAATACTGCCAGAAAGGCAAAAGAGATCATGCACAGAATGCGACTGGTGCATCCAGTGGTGCGGAACAGCCTTTCAAGATGGGCAGCAGTCATAAGACTCCTATCATAAGCGAATGGAAGAAGCTAAATCAGCTAAACCCAGCTTTCTTGACCTTGAACCAAGCAGGCAGCTTCATCGGTCTGGGCTGGCAGCCCCGCGTTTCCTAACCAACGTCCACAGGGAAGCTCTTCCACGGGATGCCAAAGCACGAGCACAGACAGGTTTTGCAATTCTTCCGTTGCTTTTGACAACATTGCATTTGGGGAAACAAAACAGAGCCTGCTCATGAGCAGAAGCTTTAATTTTGCCTTCAAAGCTTTTGATGAATTTTGATTTGATTTTTTGGGGGTGTAACATCGTGCAGTCTGATGCTCCGAGTAACAGCTTAAGCCAAAATACAATATTGCTGTCTTAACTCGCAAAACCTTTCATCTCATCCACAGTGAAAGAAAACAGCGTCCCTGCCTCGCCTCCGATTTCACGCCAAGAGAGAAACTCGTGACTGCTGCTTGTCGGAGCCCCTCCTCGTCCCTCGTCCCTCGCCCTCCCGCGCGGGCGCTCTGCGTGGAGCAAGGTGAGTTTGCTCAGACCCGTCTTGCTCTCCGTGCCTGGCTGACGGGCCAGCAAGCTCCCCATCATCTTGTGCGGCGGCTGCTCCCTGCCAAGCCGTGCCTACCCGAGCTGGGAGCGCCCCAAACTGGGCCCGAGCGGCTCCTCCCCCGGCGCAGGCAAGGTTACACCTCTCTCCCCTACGCCTGTCAGCGAACAGCTGGACTTCTCTGGTTACATGTGTGCAACCATTTAAAAAAAACATCCAGGCTGGCTTACTCAGCAGATTATAAAAGAGTGATTTACAAAATGCGGCTTTCTTCCAGAGCAGCCCGTGCCGTTGTATTTATGTGACTGAAGGTCTCAGCTGATCCCTTCTTTTCTTATCCAGCCAAGAGGTTTGCAGCAGCAGCAACAGCCACGGCCAGTACAATACTGTAAGTCACTGGGAACGTTTTTTTCTCTCAGTTTGGAAGGGGTTGGCGTTTGGCGTATCAGATCCATAACACCGTATTTTTCTAGCACAGGAAATGAAGAGTATCTTCTGCCGGGGCTGTGACTGTGCTGCCCTGCAAGACGCAGCAGCAGTGTGGTGCCTGTTTTATAACAGCGGCATGAATGAATGATGCAAT